GATTCATCAATGATGTTGCAGTCAGCCATCCCTCCAACTTCCCTCTCACAGGTTCCCACCAGGATTCAGTTGTACTGCGAGGAGCGGCCCGTTGAGAGACAACTGTCTGAAAATCTTCAACCGTGCCAAAGCACCGCTCCTAGCACTTCAGCGCCGCAAATCAATGGTGCTGGTGTGTCATGTCGGTCCAGGATCGTGCCAGAACGCTACTTCCGGGCTTGCAACACCGCACATTAGCATGACTGTCGCGGCCAGACAATCCCAACTCGTACCAAAATATTTTCTGCGGGGCGTCAACCAACAGAACCCTTGACATTGCTGCCAATTGTCAAGACGAGTGTTCGCGGCGCAAAGGCGAGAGCCGCATTTTGAACAGGAGCCGCCCTCCACCCGTGAAACTTCTGCACACGTTTAAAACGAAAGTGCGCGGCGCTAAAGCGAGAACCACAGTTTGAAATTGTCAGCCCTCGATAAAGCCCTCTCAAACTTTAAAGGCCAACGTGTGCGGCGCTCAGACAAGAGCAACATGGTCTAACATAACCTTCCTCAATACGTGAAACGAGTGCAGTTTTCTGAGCCGAATTTGAGCGGCGCTACGGCGAGATGTACATGTTGAAAACCCTCCACTTGTGAACCTTTCGCGCATTTGTATGCTGCAGGAGCATGAGTGGTGAGGCAGTCTCAGGCGAAGCGCCCGCCCCCGCCGCCCTTCCGACCGCTCTCGGGGTGCGGCAGAGAAGAGTTTCATTGTAAGGGAGGAGAGGGAGGAGGAGGAGGAGGAGGAGGAGGAGGAGGAGGAGGTGGAGGAGGAGGAGGAGGAGGAGGAGGAGGAGTAGAAGAAGGTGGACGGGGAGGAAGAGGAGGAGGAGGAGGAGGAGGAGGAGGAGGAAGGGGAGGAGGAGGACGGGGATGAGAAGGAGGAGGAGGGGGAGGAGGAGGAGGGGAGGGAGGAGGAGGAGGAGATGGAGGAGGAGGAGGAGGAGTAGAAGGAAGAGGAGGAGGATGAGAGGGATGAGATGAGAATAGGAGGGGGGAAGAGAGGGAGGAGGACGAGGATGAAGAATGGATGCGGAGGAGGAGGCGGAGGTGGAGGTCGGGGGAGGAGGAGGAGGAGGAGGAGGAGGAGGAGGAGGAGGAGGAGGAGGAGGAGGAGGAGGAGGAGTGGGAGGAGGAGGAGGCGGCGGCGGCGGCGGCGGAGGAGAAGAAGGAAGCGGAGGCGGAGGCGGAGGCGGAGGCGGAGGAGGAGGAAGCGAAGGAGGAGGCGGAGGTGCAGGCGGGGGGGGAGGAGGAAGAAGAGGAGGAGGAGGAGGATAACGAGGAGGAAGGGACCATTGCAAACCCAAGACTCAATAAACCTTCCCTCCACTCTCCCTCTTCACAGGCCCTTCAAGGATTCATTTCCACTGAGGGAGCTGCCCCTTTGGAAGGCAACCGTTTGAAAATCGTGAAGTGTGCGAGAACACCGTTCTTGCGACTTCAACGCCGCGAATCACCTTTACCGTCGCGTCTTGACGATCCCGAATCGTACCAGAATGCAGCTCATTGGACTTCAATACCACGAAGCAAAGTAACGGCTGCGCCCTGACAATCCGACATCGTGCCAATACATTAATTATGGGACGTTAGCTTTGAGAAGCCTTGAAAATGTTGTCAGCTCTTAACGCGAGTGTGCGCGGCGCTGAGACGAGAGCCACATGTTGAAAAGGAGCCGCCCTCCATCCGTGAAATTCATGGGGAGCTTCGCCGAAGGTCCCAGTGCTGCAGATCGCATGTGGGCGGCACGTCCGTTTCGGCGCACCCCTCACACGTTTCGTGGCCACGTAAGGAGCTCCACCGAAGGTCCCAGTGCTACAGTTCGCATGTGGGCGTCACGCCCGTATTGGCGCACCCCTCACACGTTCCGTGGTCCTATAGGAGTCCCCACCGAAGGTCACAATGGCGCAGTTGGAAGGTGGGCGTCACGCCTGTTCCGGCACACCCTTCACATGTTTCGTGGCCTCATCGGGAGCTCCACCGAAGGTCCCAGTGGGAGGGTTCACAACATGCGCCCCATCCCCCTCCCCAAGTCGGCACTCCCCTCACACGCGTTGTGGCCCCATAGGGAGTCCCACCGAAGACGATCCTCGCAATTGCGGCATTCGCAACTGCATATGGTTGGGTCCTTCGCCAGGCTACTGAAGGACTAATGAACGCGGCGCCGAAGCGAGAGCCACATGTTGAGAACGACCCGTCCTCCATCCGCGAAGCTCTTACATCGTTTCGCAACAATCCTGTGAAGTTGGGCCCTCGTTTTGAAGAGACAGCGCCCCGCGTCACTCCTCCCGCTGCCCCCTCCCTGTTCCTCCTCCTCCTATCACCCTTACCTCTGTCCTCCGCTCAAGAAGCCGTCACAGGCTCTCTCTCTCCGTATGTCAACCATTGTGGTACACGCCATCAAATTTTCAATGACCCCATAGGGAGCTCCAGCGAAGTTCCCAGTGGCGCAGTTCGCATGTGGGCGGCACGCCCGTTTCGGCACATCCCTCACACGTTTCGTGGCCCAATAGGGAGCTCCACCGAAGGCCCCAGTGGCACAGTTCGCATGTGGGCGCCACCCCCGCCCGTCTCGGCGTACCCCTCACACGTGTTCTGGCCCCATAGGGAGCTCCAGCTGAGGTCTTAGTGGCGCAGTTCGCATGTGGGCGTCGCCCCCATTTCGGCACACCCCTCACACATTTCGTGGCCCTAGAGGGACCTTCACCTGAGGCCCCAGTGGCACAGGTCGCATGTGGGCGACACCCTCGTGTTGGCACACCCCTCACACGCTTCGTGGCCCCATGGGGGGCTCCACCTAAGGCCCCAGCGTTACAGTCCGCATGTGGACGTCAGCCCTTTTTCAGAACACCCCGCACACGCTTAGTGGCCCCAAAGGGAGCCTCCACCTAAGGCCCCAGAGGCACAGTTCGCATGTGGGCGTCTTCCTCGTGCCGACACATCCCTGACACGCTTCGTGGCCACATGGGCAGCTCCACCTGAGGTCCCAGTATCGCAGTTCGCATGTGGGCGTCACCTCCGTCCCGGCACACCTCTCACTCGTTTCGTGGCCCCATAGGGAGATCCACCGAAGGCCCCAGTGGCACAGTTCGCATGTGGGTGTCACCCCCGTTTCGGCGTACCCTCACACGTGTTGAGGCCCCAGAGGGACTTCCAGCTGAGGTCTCAGTGGCGCAGTTCACATGTTGGCGTCACACCTCGTTTCGGCACACCCCTCTCACGCTTTGTGGCTCCATGAAGAAGGGGCTCTACCTCATGCCCCAGTGGCACCGCCCGCATGACGGCCACGCCCCACCTCGGCACGCCCTTCACATGCTTCGTGGCCCCATAAGGGGATCCACCGAAGGCGATACCCACAACGACGGTACTCACAACTGCATGTGGCTGGGTCTTCCGTCAAGATAGTTTAAGGCGAATGCGCGCGGCGCTCAGGCGAGAGCCACATTTGAAAACGTTCCGCCCTCCGTTCGTGAAGTCCTTGCATGTATAAAATACGGATGTGCGCGGAGCAAAGGCGAACACAACATTGTGAGAAGGACCTACCTTCTATCCGTGAAAGTGTTGCAAATTCGAAGCGACAATCAGAGATGGTGAGGAAATCTGAATCGAAACGCCCGGCCCGCCCTTTCGCCCGCCCAAGGGGCACGACAAGAAGAATTACTTACAAGGAAACGGAACGGAGGAGGAGGAGAAGGAGGAGGACGACGAGGAGGGAGAGGCGGAGGAGGAGGAGGAGAAGGCGGAGGATGTGGATGATGATGAGGAGGATGTTGATGATGATGCTTCATGTGGATGATGAGGAGGATGAGGATGAGGATGATGGTAATGATGATGGCGATGGTGATGGTGATGATCATGACGACGATGACGATGACGATGACGATGACGATGTCGATGGCGATGACGATGACGATGAGGATAATACAATTGATGATGCTGACGATGATGATGATGCTGATGATGCTGATGATGATGATGCAGTTGATGGTGTTGATGTATATTATGGTGATGATGATGATGCTGATGTTGATGATGGTAATGATGGTGATGCTGCAGCTGCTGCTGATGATGATGGTAATGATGATGGTAATGATGGTGATGCTGATGGTGATGGTGATGGCGATGGTGATGGTAATGCTGCTGATGGTGATGCTGAATGTGATGGAGCTGATGATGGTGCTGGTGACGGTGATAGTTATGATGGTGATGTGTGTGATGAATGTATTGATGATGATGTTGATGATAAGAATGATGTTGATGAGGATGACGATGATGATTATAATTAGTATGATGATGCTGATGATGGTGAGGATGATGTTGAGGATGATGATGCTGATGATTAAGATGATGATGATGATGATGATGATGATGATGATGATGATGATGATGATGATGATGATGATGTTGATGCTGATGCTGATGCTGGTGAATATGCTGATGATGAATATGAGGAGGAAGAGGAGGAGGAGGAGGAGAAGGACAAGGAGGAGGAGGAGGAAGAGTAGGAGAGGTAGGAGAGCGAGGAGCTGGAGGGAGGGAGGCAGGACAGAGTTTGAGGAGGACGGGGATCAGGAGGAAGAGGGAGAGGTGGAGGAGGAGAAGAGGGAGGAGGAGGAGGAGGAGGAGGAGGAGGAGGAGGAGGAGGAGAAGGAGGAGGCGAGGGAGGATGACAAGTAGTCCTCTTGGAAGGTCTCTGGGGGCCTCCTGGAGGCCTTTTAAAGCCCCTTGGGGGCGTATTTGAAGTCTCTTAGGGGTTTCTTGGGGCCTTTCGGGGGCCTCTTCTTGGCCTTCGGAGGCCCTCTGAGGGGCTCCTGTGGGTCGTCATGTGCCCTTCTTTGGGCGCTCCAGGGTCGTCTTGGCAGTCTGTGGGTCCGTCTTGGCCGTCTTGGGGATCTTCTGGGCCGTTGTCGGGATGAGAAAGATGAAGAGGATGAAACAGATAGGGAAGAATACGATGGCGACCGCGACGACGATGACGACAACAAATCAAACAAATATACATTTGCGGACCCCTGCTCTCCGAGCCTCTTGGAAGCATCTTGGATCTTGGAGCAGGGGCAATGTTTGGAGCTTCTGGGGATCTCTTGGGGGCCTTTTGGGGCCTTTGGGGAGCCCTGGAGAGCAACGAGGTAGACAAGTAAAACGACACCGCCGCCGCCGCCGCTGACGACGACTACGACGACGACCTCGGCTGGCGCGTCGTCGTCGTTGTCGTCGTTTGCCGTGCGGCCCGGCGCAACCCCCGAAGGACCGCAGCAGGACCCCGCAGCTCGACAGGCGCCCTCGCCCACCGCCCCCGCAAGGGGCCGCAGGGGGAGCCCAGGCGGCGGGACGGGGAAGAGGGGGAGGGGGAGAAGGAGGAGCATGACGACGATGCGCAGATTTTTTCTCGGTTGTCTGAGATATTCGGCGGTTGTTGGACAGCCTCTTGGGGGCCAGGTGTTGGCCCTCTTTGGGTTGGCGCCTCGCCGATTTGGCGCACTATCTGAAAAGCTTTGTGCCAGGGCTGTCTGCGTCACAGTTAATTGTGGAGCCTTGTGCATCACCGGTCTCTGCTGGGAGCCATGGTGTTTTGGGGTCTCTGGGACCTTCGCGCGATCCTCTGCGGGCCCTTGTGAGATCATGGATGTGAAGGACACCGAAGACGGGAGAAGATGTGAAAGCGTGGCCGAACCACTTGTGTTGCAACGCTTGTTTTCAAACGTAAGCGCCGTGGGAGCATTGGGGCCGGCTTCGGGCTCCTCGCGGGGAGGTCTTGGGGGCAGTTTGGAGGCCTGTAGAAGGCGTATTGGGTGCACCGGTTGAAATTATTGGGGACCCTTAAGGGGCTTCAGGGGGCCTCTTCGGGGCCAGTTGGAAACGTCTTGGGGTTTCTTCAAGCCTTTTGGGCGCTCCTCTGGGGGCCTGCTGGTGGCTTCTTGGGCCGTCTTCGATACTTCTTCCGCCATCTCGCCGCCCTCTCAGGCGCCTCTTGGGCCCGTCTCGGGGCCTTTTTGGGCCTTTCCGGGAGCCTCCTGGGCCATATTGGGACCATATTGGGCCGTCTTGGAGCCCCCTCTGGCGGTTTCTTGGGCCGTTTTGGGGTTCTCTTGGGACGCCCGCGACGCTTTGAAGGCCCAAGAGACGAACGTGCTAAAATTGCACGTTTTTCTTAGGGGATGAGACTTTGTTTGTGTTCGGTCTTTTTTTGGAAAGTCTTTTTGGGGGTTCTGGGGGCATCGTGGAGGCTTCTGGAGCCGACTCGGGGCCCTCTCGGCCCATGTCGAGGCCCTCCTGGGCGGGGGGGCCGTCCCGGAGTGAGCTGGAGCTCCGATTCCGCCTCGGGAATTATATCGACCCCCCCCCCGTACCCCTACCCCGGCAGAGCCACCCCGGCACCCACCCCCCAGTAGAGCTGAAGCCCAGGAATTGAGGCCCAGACTGTTCTGAGGGTTTTTGAAACTCACGCGCCGGATCGGCGGATTGTGTAGCTTTCGTCCAAAATCCGCCTGTAGCAGGACATGCCCGACCGAAGCGTTGTGAAAAATCACGACGGGAGGTTTTTCGATATTTTCGTTTTGGGGGGCCCTTCCCGGGCCTCGGGGCTGTCCAAGAACAGCTCAAAATGAAGATCCAGTTCCGGGGAAGCGGTCCAGACTTTTCGGGGTCGACGTTGTGGAAAAATCACAATGTCGGGGGTCTGGGCCTGGGGTCGTTCCTGCATTGGGATGCGTTTCAGCAGCGGTGCCTCGCCGAGAGTGCTCCAGGGGATTGGTCGGATTCTATCTCCAGCGGCCGCCGGAGACCTGAGTCATGAACACGCGTCATGGGGTAGTCCCCTCCTCTTCCTCCTCTTTCTCCTCCTCTTTTTCCTCCTCCTCCTTCTTTTCCTCCCCCTCGTCTTCCTCCTCCCTTTTCCCAGCTTCTTCCCCTCTTTCGTCTCCTCTCCCCCCCCCCTTGGAGAGGGCCCAGGCGGCAGTTCTGGCGGGAGGCGGCCACGGGGTGCGGCGGACCAGGCGACGGGCAGCTTCAGTGGCGGCGGTCGCAGTGGCGGTGGCAGGGCGGCGCGTTCGCGGAGGTGACGGCGGCGACGACAGCGATAGTGGGGTTTGGGGTTTTGGTCCTGGCATGTGCGCGCGGCTCGTCGAAGGCACGCTGTCGCCCCGCGGGCGTTGGCGTGGCTGCCCTGTGGAGTGGGCGCTCTTGTGGGCCAGACGGCTGTGGGATGGCAGTCGCATGTAGGGGGCGTACGTTTCGCTCCTGAAGCGCCCCCCCCCCGCTCAGATGGTAGGGGTGGCAGGTACCAACACCAAGCCGAGGTGGCGAAGGGTGGCGCGTTCGTTTCTACCCCATCCAGGTGGACAATGGGCAGGAAGGGGACATCCTCCCTCCACCTCCGTTCCCTGCCGTCTGCTGCCACACCCGAATCGCACACGTTCCTGGACACGCGGCATTATATGATTCTTCGTTTGACCATGATTCCTCCGTTCGTATTACTGTAACTGTTCCCAACACAATGTTTGCACTTAAGGTTTCTGGCATGGTTCACGTAATTATCGTAGCCTTCTCGTGCGCTCGATGGGTCTGACGAGGTTTCGCCACGCTGCTGCCCGCGGCTGCCTCGTGGCCTTCTCGCGCGCTGGATTGATCTGGCGAGGTTTCGCCACGCTGCTGCCCGTGGTTCCCTCGTGGCCACCTCGTGCGCAGGGTGGGTCTGACGAGGCTTCGCCACGTTGCCACACGTGGCAGCTTCGTGGTTACACATCATGGATTGCACCGGATAGTTTTCACCTTCATGGTTCTCTCCACACAGCTTGCACGACATAGCCTGCACCACATAACTCACACCGCATAGCTGTCACCTCCACAGTGTAATAACTCATTGTGTCGGGCCCACGCGGGTTAGCACTGTTATGGTGTTGTTAGTATTAGTATGATTCGCCGCATTCGTCGCATTTCATGTCCTATTATTGTCGACACGTAAGATTTTATTTTTATCATTGCCAGTATTCGTACTATTATGAGTACTTTTGTATTGGTGTTATTATGATTCGTAGTATGACTATTGCTATGACTACTATTATTAATATTATCCGTGGCATTAGTTGTATTCATTATGACGTGTAGGACTATCGATATGCTTCTTAGGAACAGTAGTAGTAATACTCGTGGTAGAAGTAGTAGTACTACTACTACCACTACCACCACTACTACTACTACAACTACTACTACTACTATTTCTACTACTACTATTACTACGACTACTACTACTACTGCTACTACTACTACTACTACTACTACTACTATTACTACTACTACTACTGCTACTACTACTACTACTACGACTACTACTACTACTACTACTAGTAGTAGTAGTAGTAATGGTAGTATTAGTAGTACTAGTAGTAGTAGTAGTAGTAGTAGTAGTAGTTTTAATAGTCGTAGTAGTAGTAGTAGTAGTAGTAGTAGTAGTAGTAGTAGAAGTGTATAGTAGTAGTAGCAGTAGTAGTAGTAGTAGTAGGTAGTAGTAGTAGTAGTAGTAGTAGTAGTAGTAGTAGTAGTAGTAGTAGTAGTAGTGGTAGTAGTACTCGTAGTTGGTGTTGTTGTAGTAGTTGTTGTAGTAGTAGTCGTAGTAGTAGTCGTAGTAGTAGTAGCAGTAGTAGTAGTAGCAGTCGTAGTTGTAGTTGTAGTTGTAGTAGTAGTATTAGTATTAGTAGTAGTAGTAGTAGTAGTAGTAGTAGTAGTAGTAGTAGTAGTAGCAGTAGTAGTAGTAGTAGTAGTAGTAGTAGTAGTAGTAGTAGTAGTAGTAGTAGTAGTAGTAGTAGTAGTAGTAGTAGTAGTAGTAGTAGTAGTAGTAGTAGTAGTAGTAGTAGTAGTAGTAGTAGTAGTAGTAGTAGTAGTAGTAGTAGTAGTAGTGGTAGTGGTAGTAGTAGTAGTAGTAGTAGTAGTAGTGTAGAAGTAGCGGCCGACCCCACCCCCCAGCGACACCCATTCTCCGCACACTCGCGACCCGCCTTGCCCGGCGGAGGGGATGCTCGGACGGGGCGTGGCGGCACCGCCGCCTGGCCAGCGCGGCCGGGGTGGCAGTCTGGCGGCGGGCGGCCGCCCACGTTAGGGCGTGCTGGCCCGACCGGGGCGACGACTGAGGGCGCCGGCCCCCCCCGCCCCCCCTCCCCCGCCCGCCCCCCCCCCCGCATTCGCGCCGAATCAGCGGGGCTTTGTGGCTCACACCCCGCGGCCGTGCTTCCCCCACTGCCGCCTGCTGGCCTGCCTGCTTGCGTCCTGCCCCTCTCCCTCCCTCTCCTCCTCCTTCCTTCGCTTCTTCCTCCTCTCTTCTCTTCTCCGGGGCCAGGAGGCCGCGCGTCGACGCGACGCGCTTTGTTTTTCCTCCTCCTTCTCCTCCTCCTTCTTGCGTGCAAGACTTTTGTCTGGCTTAATCCACTCCGTCAGACGCACGCGTCCGGGCCTGCGACTCGTCAACGACGGGCATGCGCGTCTACAGCCCGGACGCTGCGGCAGGCTGGTACACGGAGGTTTCGCCGCACGGCTCCCGGGACCTTCGTGTATTTTTGGGCTTGTCCCCCCAGGTGCTCGTCGCCTTGATAAACCAGGCAGCGGCCGAATATCGGCCTCGCTGCCAGCTGCCAGGACGCAGCTCTGGTTCGGCATTGTCCCAACGCCTGCGTTTCGGAGGCCATCTTGAGCGCCAAATCGATCGGGGAGGGGATGTTGGCTGGGGCTGCGTGCGGCGAGGGGGCATGGGAGTAGCCCGGATATCGACCACATTTCCAGCACACGGAATATGTTCATAGTCCGTGCGGCACCCGTCTGCGCCCGGGCCGCCTGCAGTGAATGACGGAAGGCTTCAGATTTCGAGATCCTCAGGCATGATGTGTCCCTCATACCTCCTCAAAGAACAATTAGTTGTTGCTGTTGTAGTGTGAGTATTAGTCTTACCCGTTTTCCCTTAGCAGCAGTACGGCTTTAGTTTTCATCATTTTACCTCGCGCCCGCCGCCGAGGCGTTCCGACTCCGAGAGCAGAAGAGGCGCGGCTGCCTCGACCATGGCGGCCCTGGAAAGCGGCGGCGGCCAAAAGAGCAGGGAACGCCAGGGGAGGGATCAGCTCCGTGGCGGGGATTCATCCACAACCACTGCCCGGGGAATCGACACTCGTGGACTTCGGCAGGCGGGGGACATGGATATGTATATGTATATTTATGTGTATATATATATATATTAATCGGAGGAGGCCGGGGGAGGACCCAGAATTGCTACCGCTGGTTCGTATGGGAGGCCAGGGGGGCCTTGAGGGTTCCAAGAGGGTTCAGAAGGGGCCCCGAACCCTCCCAGAGGCTCCCAAGCTGGCCCAAGAAGCGCCCCAAACTCCCCAGGTTGTCTGGAAGGTGGTTGAAGAGCGCATTGAGATGGCTTCGGGACGGGCCACGAGCGCGCGAAGACAGCCCAAGACTGCTCTTAGACGGCCACAAGGGCATTCAAGACGGTCCAAGAGGCCGCCGAGAAGGCCCCCCAAGGGCAAAAATCAAACAATTCCTATGGGTTAGCGTGAATTTCTTGGAAATTCTAGACGCTTCGCGTATCCCCACCAGCCCGTCCAGAAACGACGCCCAGGCGAGTAGAGGGTCGTCCTGAGGGGCTTTTCGGCGTCTTGGGTGCCTCGGGGGGGCCTCTGTGGGCCTTTCGGGATCCTCTTTGGGGCCTCCTGGGGGCCTCTTGGGGCCTCTTGGGGCCATCTTGGGGCCTTTGGGGGCCTCCTGGGCGCTTCTTGGGGCCATCTTTGCCCCTTGGGTGCCTCTGGGGGGTCTCTTGGGGCCTCTTGGGGGTCTCTTGGGGGCCTCCTGGGGGCCTCTTGGGGGGCCTCTTGGGGCCATCTTGGGGCCATCCTGCGGCCTCTTGGGGCATCCTGGGGGCCTCTTGCGGCCATCGTGGAGGAAATCGATCAAAGAAGAGGGGAGCTCTAATTAGCGCTGCCCCCTCAGAAGGCCAAAATGGGGCCAAAACCATAGTAAAATCAATGATTTTGGCTTCCTCGCCGAGGCCGTTTTGGACGCTCTGATCGCTCCCCGCCCCTCCTGTCCAGGTCAGTGGGGAGGGGGTAGGGGGAGGGGTAAACCCCTCCCCCAAAGGGAAGAGGGAGGGGTGGAAGAGGAAACGCCCTAAACCACCGACGCCCAGAGGGCTGGTGGGACTTGCTTTTCAGTCCTACCAGCAGCCGCGACGGCCCCAGAGGCTCCCAAAATGAGCCCCTGACGGCCCGAGAAGCCCCTAAGATGGTACACAGACGGCTTGAAGAGAGCTTCAAGCGGCACAAGAGAGCCCCAAAAGCGGCCCAAGAGGGTGCCCAGGAACCCCGACGGGGCCACCGGAGGTGCATAGTCGGAGAGGGCCTCCAGAGGGGGCCCCACGGCGGGCTCAGGTCCCCCATGGCGGGCGAGCCGCACTGGGCTCCCGGAGGGTCCGGGAATGGCCTGCCGGGTCTCCCTGAAGACGGTCCAGGAGCCATGGCCGAACGATTTCCCCCACTCTGCAACGCCTTGGTAAATCTTCGGTTTCTCGATTTGATCTAGACATTAGCGGAATGATGCAATATTCTCTCTGCAGACAGGGAGCCGCATCCATTCAGAACTTTATAGATACCTTAAGATAGATCGATCGTGTAATCCGTAAGGGCTTCGCCCCATACCGCCGGCCCCCTGTCTCGGAGAACGGGAGATGCAAAAGCTAAATCATGAGGTCTGGGCGCCGCCTTGAAGCAGTGTCGGGACCTGTTTGTTTTTCGACCCTGACCCTACGGATCTGCGTGAGGGGTGCCGCCGAATTTCAGAAATGTGGCAAATCCCTTGTGTTTTTGGACCCTGACCCTACGGATCTGCATGAGGGGTGCCGCCGAATTTCAGAAATGTGGCACATCCCCTGTGTTTTGGGACCCTGACTCCCCATGCAGCGCCCGTTCATGTCCGCCGGGGCCCGGCAAAAAGGTCAGCGCGTGGGCGTCTCCCCCGCAGCGACCGGGCCCCCCCCCCCGGGGCCGGGCCCGGGGTCCGCACTCACTTAGCGCAAGCGCATGTGGCACGGGGCCGGGTACAGGGCTGGTGCACCCGAGCGTGCCGGCGCGCGGCCTGGCCCCGTCGCGGGGCCGCGTGAGGGGATGTTGCGTTGAACATTATTACTTCTAAAGAATAATTATTGTTGGGACCCCTGGTGCACGGCCCCCTCGCCGCGCCTAGGCCGCAGCCATGTTTTCATCATTTTCGTGAGGAAGTCTCGGCAAAACGGGTTGGTCCGGATCCGGTTGTTTTGTTACGGGCGGTTTTCCCTTGCAAAAAATAAGGCAAAGTGGACATTTCTTGTTCTAACATAACCAAACTTCAAGAATCCCTTGCAAAAAATAAGGTAAAGTGGACATTCGCGCGCGCAAGACGAAATCCTTCCAAAACCTTAGTGTTCGTAGCGATTTTAACATAAAAACATCAAAAAACAATGGTTTTTCAAAAAAAAAAAAGTGTCAAAATTTCATCCCGCGCGCTCTTGCGGATTTGTAGGAAACCCAACACTTTTTAAACATTTCTGTCAAACGGGCTTTTGCGAGCAACTTTTTCAGAAACAGTACAGAAACGGAAAAACGTCGTATCAGACGCTAGCGCCTCACCAGCCAAAGCAGTCCATATCATTGTAGGACCTACAGACAGTACCGGCGTCGTACTGGTTTACCGTGGTTTCCTATTCTAGCGTCAGGAACACGTTACCACCAAAAACCAGTACAGGTGTCCAGTGTTGGAACAGGGGGAAAAGTCGTATACTAAGCTAGCGTCCAGAAAATGTTACCACAACAAGTCACTGTACCCATGCGCCAGTGTAGTAGCCACGGTCGTCCGCAGGCCACGAAGTGAAGTGTCCGAACGTCATAGGGCGGGAAGCTGGGTGTGGGTGGTGGCGAAGAGTCGTTTGGAAATGTGGTAGAGCTTGAACCGGCCCCCCCACAAAGTGGGGGTATTGGCGGGCGTCGTATGAAAACCCTGGCACTGGTGAGAACGGAGTGTCCCCACGTGCTAGTAATTGTTGCTGTTGTTGTTGTTGTTGAAGTTGTTGGTGTTGTTGTTGTTGTTGTTGTTGCTGGTGTTGTTGCTGGTGTTGTTCTTACCGTTGTTGTTGTTGTTGTTGTGGTTGTTGTTGTTCGTGTTCGCGTTCGTGTTCGTGTTCGTGTTTGCGTTCGTGTAGTTGTAGTTGGTTGGCGTTGTAGTTGTAGTTGTTGTTGTTGTTGTTGTTGTTGTTGTTGTTGTTGTTGTTGTTGTTTGTGTTGTTGTTGTTGTTGTTGTTGCTGGTGTTGTTGTTGTTGTTGAATTCTCGATGATCGGGAACATTGAGGTTTGATCAGCCTTGGTGACCAGTATGTGTATTCCAATTAAAGTGCTCCTCGTGGGGCTTGCCCCGTGTTATTGGCCAGGCGACGCTTGCGGTGGCCAAGTGCGCCCATGGCCCCTGGTGGTTTACAACAACAGTTCCCCCTCACAACTTGTTCCAAAATCGCGCGCTCGCGCGGGACTTCATCACAACTTGCACAGGAATCGCGTCCTCGCGTGGGACACCTTGGCAATGTATTCGAGCGCCGCGCCCTCGACGTTCAGGAATCGCGCTCTCGATCTGGCGTCTCCCACGATTTGAACATCGCACTGTCGCTCGAGAGTTCCTCGCGATTCATGTTGGAGGCACGCTTCAGAAACCGGCCTGCTCGACCCAGCCGCAAAGGGGCCCGCCGTCCGACCCGCCCGCCAGGGTACACCCGCCCGGTCAGCCCCGCATGGTTCTGCCACGTGTGTTCTGTTCCTGGCCCCCCCCTTGCTAATCTCCCCCGCCTGTCTTCCCCTGCTCTGGTAGGGGCGTCAGGGACGCGACGGAAGACGGAGCGGGCGGGCATCGAGGTTTTCGGATGTACGCGCGGAATGGCGCGCGAGCGGGCAGGAGCGAGCACTCTTGAAACGAGTGCTGCCCTTGCTGTCGTCGTCCCACTCGCGACCCCACCCGCGACCCGCCCGCGACTCGCCCGCGACCCACCCCGCGCCCGCTCCCCCACTCTCAGATCCGCAACCGCGGAGCGCTACACCCAGCCCCGCCTCGCACTCGGCTTCGACAGGAGAGGCGCAGAGCTGACCTCGCGGGCGGCCGCTCCCCGCCCTCGCCCCGCGCGCCCCTCTCCGCGAGGGCCCTCGACGCTGCCGCGGGGGAGTGGCAAGTTTCACTCCGCCGCCCCCAGGTGGGGATGGGAGGGGGGGGCTGGGGGGGGAGGGCAGGTAAAATGGGGCGGGGGGGGGGCGAAGGGAAGGAGGGCTGGGGCAGGCCGGCGGCGAGCGAGGGGGCGAAGGGAGAAGGAGGAGACCCTTTCAGCAGGCGGCGGGGCTGCTCAGAAGCCCCATGGCCTTCGATGGGTGTTCTGCGCCTTCGGGAAAGGCTTACTGCACTCCTCAGAAGGCCCTGGGACTTCCGAGCCTTCTGAGAAGGCCCGCCCCTTCTCACTTCCTCCTGGGGCTCGCCGCCGAGGAGGGGGAGGAGGGGACGAGGGAGGGAGGAAAGTTGTAGGAGCGGAGCCTCCGCTCTTCCAACTTCCCTCCCTCCCTTTCCGTTCCTCCACCTTTCCTCCAACGTTCCGCCGAGGAGCGAAGCCTCCGCTGCGGAGGGAGGGCGGAGGGGAAGGGAGTGAGGGGGGGGCCGTGGCCGTTGGGCCTCAGGAGAAGTCGTGCCAGAAGCTGACGCGGCGGCGACCATCGCGCGTACGTTCAAGGTTGAACGGCGCCATCTGTCGTGAATCAGCCGAGATTAAGCGGCCTGCGCTATCAGAAAGCCGCAACGGTTCGAGTTTTAACGATTGACGCGGTGTCAGAAGCCATGTCCCAGGCCGTCGCGACACGAGCCCGCCGTGCTTATCATGATGGTGGTTCTTCTGACTGAGGCGCATCATGCCGTCGATGGGCACTGGAGGGGGCCAGGGACCTCCCTCGGCCAACGAAAACGGCTGGGAGGAGGGGTCCGGACGCACCTCCACCAATTCCCACGAATGCGGCGGATTCGCGCCGCGTTGACGCGGCGGCGACTCCAGCGCGGGCGTTGAAGGTTGAGCGCCGACAGTGGCCCAGCATTGGCCGATGTCGAGCGATTCGCGCTGTCGGAGCACCGCGCTCGCCCCAGGTTGAACGATCCACGCGATGGCAGGCACAAACGCCGACGTCATCGCGGCTTGAGTCTGCCGTGTCACGACGGCGCCAGTTACCACCTTCGCGGTTGTCCTCCCCTCGACGGCAGAGGGTCGCGGGCCCGAGGCGGAGAGGCCGCGCGGGCTTTTTTTTTCTCTCTCTCTCTCTCTCTCTCTCTCTCTCTCTCTCCCCCCCCCGGGGTGCGCGCGGCGGCCCTGCGATCGCCCGAGGACCGCAGCGCGAGCAGGAGCCTCGGGGGCCACAGCCGAGGCCGGCGCAGCGCGCGCGCGGCGCGCCCGCTGAAGCTCGTGCGCGCGCGCCGCCGGGGGGAAGCGCGCTCGGCGGCGGAGTCCGGACGCAACCCTGAAGTCGGGCATGTCCCTCTGCAGGGGGGGTGCTCAAGGGTAGTACCAAAATGGTATGGTGACGATTTGTCGGACTTTCTTGACTCATGCTGATTATTGTTTGGTTACTCTGGGACTGCTCTTCCAGAATCCGCCTGTAGGAGGACATGCCCGACCGAAGATAAGGATTCGGGCACATCGAAGGATGGTGGGGCAGGGTTCGGAGCTCGCCCATCGCGTGGCGAAGTCCGAGCCCTGCCCCCGCCTCCCATCGGTTCGGGAGAATCGATAGTTTGTGAGGGTTGGGTTCGGATGTCGCCACCTGCGCGCGCGCGTCTCCGTCGCTGGGGGGGGGGTCCTCGGTCCTCGGAGGCCCTTGTAAGTCGAGGGACTCCGACGGCCCTCGGAGGCACGAGGAGGCGCAAGGAGAGAGGAGCGAGGAGGAGGAGCGAGCAGGAGGAGGAGGAGCGGTTGGCAGTGTTACTGCTGCTGTGATCATTGCTGCTGTCGTTGAGGTTGCGTCGGGCATGTCCCTCTACAGGAGGAACATGCAAGAATGGTACACTGTCTGGGGCGATTGGTCGTGATTGATTATTGTTCGACTACTTTTTAAACTGTTTTTCACAATCCGCCTGCAGGAGGACATGCCCGACCTAATGTTAAGGATGAGAGTCGTCCCCGTGCTTGGAAGAGGATGAGCAGTAAAGCCACAAGGGCAGGTCGGCGGTAAGCGCAGAACCTATTGCATCTTCGAGCAGCCCGTGCCGCATCTTGGTGGAACGCCAGCCGTCAGCCTACACCGCTCCTGGCCAGTCCTCTCTGGGGCCCGGGATCGATCCTGGCCCGGCCAATTCGGGGCCTCAGAGACGGGGATCAATGCAAACGGGGGTCAGCCAGAGCGCCCGATCTTGCAGGATCCTGCAGGGCCAGGGTCGCGGTGACCTGGGCTTGGGTGCAGGATCTTGCAGGATTTTTCGAACTGACCGGGGCTTGGGCGCAGGATCTTGCAGGATCTTGCAGGATTCTGCAAGGCCTGACTGCCCCTGGTCTGGATTGACCCGGGTCAGAAGATCCCCGACATTTGTTATTTGGTCAGATATCGGCCTGGCCAGAGTCGGTGCGGATACAGTGGAGGCCAATGCCAAGGAAAACATTGCGTGCCTCCAGGATGCCCTGGGTGTCTTGGGGTTCGATGGTTTAGCGATGGAGGGCGCGACGTTCCCACACCAAAAATCGAAGGACGTCCTGGGGGTTCAGGGTCGGGTTTCTTTTGGAAGGTGTCTTGTGGTCGAGCTCCCACTGCAGCTGGCAACCCCCTCACCCTCGGCTCCCGAAACAAAACGTGGCCCCGCAGCGAGAGCAGCCGCGCCCTCGCTCTGACGGGAGCTCGCGCGCCGAGGCCTCGCTGTCGGGAGGGGCCCCGACCTCCGAAGGCGGCCGAGGATCTCGGCAAGCCTGGACAGCTGCACAGTGGAGACCCATGCCAAGAGACACCTGGCTTGCCTCCAGGGTGACACTGCATGCTGTTTCAGCAATGATCAAGTCAGCGCGTGAGCATACATCTTGGCCGCGTGTGCGCGCGTGCCTAAGACACGTTCGTGCACACACGCTGCCATTCCTTGCTTTGTTATTTTTCGCAGGCACCCTATCAGATCAGACAGTTACGAACTGTGTTGCACAGTGATGTGGAAAAAAGGTGAGCTGGATATAGCTTAGTTTGCCTTACGACGTGGACCGCCTGGACTTCGTGTGCTGGGAGGCTTCTAATTGTTATTGGTAGCGGAGCCTGCCGATCCTCGGTGGGCTCGAGCTATGTTTCTGGACGAGACTCGGCGACGATATGGGGCCGCCTGTCAAGGGCGGTGGTGCCAAAGGAGCTGGAGGCAGACGACCACACGGAGGCCGAAGGAAGGGTCCGACCAAAACCAATGGAGGAGCCGACGGAGTCCGAACACCGAGCGAGGACGACGACGCGGAGCTCGATCCACATGAGGTTTCTTGGGAGGATGTTGAGACGCCGCGGCTCCCGCCGCGACGCAAGGACAGAGGCCTCGACAGTGCCCTGTCCAAGACGGCACCGCAGCTCGAGGGCTTGACGGAGGCCAAGTACAAGGATTTCAGAGGGGGGCGCTTGGAGGTTTTCGAGCGACAGTGCCGCGTTCGTGGAAGCATATGCATGGTGGAAGGAGCTTCCTTGATGGTTGCACATTCGCAGGAGATTCAGTGGGATCTGGCCGGATCTGTGGACTTGGATCGCTTGGAACCGGACCGACCTTTTCATGTGATTCGTGAGTGGTTGGATACAAACTACACTTCGGCAAAGAGATGATGGAAATGCCAGAGAGATACAGCAGCTTGTTTCACACGTTCCCGCATGAAAAAGCACGCATCTATGCACAAGTTCTGTGCTCGACACCAGTTAGAGATCAGGAAACGTAGCGAGGTAAACATACAGCTGCCCAGCATGTTGTGCGGGCGGCGTCTCTTAGCAAGATCGGTAATGCCTCAGTGGCCTCACGTTCATATCAAAACGCATTACAAGGGATCTTTGACGTATGGAAGCATCAGGACTGCATTGCGCGAGATCTCCGGCCCCGATCCCAAGGCGACCGTCAGAGATCTGCAGAGGATCAACTTGAGCTCAACTGGCGCGAATGCGAGTGACGACGCGCATTGGACAGAGTTTCGGGACGAAGAATATGCATGCGAAGAGGAGACAGTGTATACCATGGAAGACGTAAATGATTGCATATACGAGAAATAAGTTCATCTAGGAGAAGATGGGCAACACGGTGCGTGGTACAAGGGCGACATGGATTGCCGTGGCTACGGCGAGGACGCTAGCGAAGGTGAGAATATGGGAAATTACAACGACAGCTACGACAAGACAGAGGAGGCCCTCGCCTCGCATGCGGAATCTAGACGACGCATGCGAGATTTGTCAAACAGCAGGTGCCTCCGATCATGGCCGCCATTCCCGAGACTGACCCGCCGGCAGCATCGACGCGAGCCTCATCGCGGGCGCACGCGTCCAATGCAGGCCGCAAGGGTGGGAGCACCAAAGGCAGAGGCAAAGGGCGCAGCGGCGGAAGAGCCAGCGGCGGCAAAGGAGCACGCAGCAGGAGCAGCAAGGCCAGCCCCGCGCTTCGCCGCGCCGCGTTTCGCCGCGCCTCGGTTCGCGCCGAGCGCGGCCTTTTCGCCCAGAGGATCGACGCCAGCAGGGTCGACAGCGAGCGGGGCCACCCGACAGCGTGGGCCGCGCTTCAAGCGATGCCGACAGGATGCTAGATGCGTGAAGCCTACGGGAGATGGCTAGTCCGAGGAGTCACAGAGGTCGCCAGCCGACCCCAGGACGCCGAGATCTAGGACGCGATGGAGGAGGAGGCCAGCGACGGCATTGAGTTTGTCATGTACGGCAGAGCTGACACCGCGATCGATCACAGTGGCTGCGCCGCCCCCGTTATGGGATATGATATTTGGGAACGGTTGCAGATCTTGCGCGAGAAGGGCATGACCGATCACGTCAAGGTGGCGCAGCCATCGCATATTCAAGATTGGCACCGACAATGCGCTGCAAGCGACGCGCGTGGCTGAATTTCCCGTGGTTTTCTGTCAGGCACCCAAGAAGCTACGTGTTTGCCTTGCTCCTGGGAAGACACCGCTTCTCCTGCGTCGTGGAGTTACTGCAGAATGGGGTTTTGTGCAGGACGATCGCAATGATAAAGGTCATCTGCGTGATCGCCCAGATCGCGGACGGCTTGACGCGGAACTTTCGCCCGTCAGAATTGCCTTTGTTCTTCTGCGCGAGGTCAAGCCGGGGATTTCGCAACGATGGCCACGAGAGATCAGGAAAATGCGATCAACGCATGCGCTGCCACTGCGCAGCACTACCGCATCGACGACAACGACGACCTCACTTACGAAAACTGCGAGTACGAATCTTCTTGCGCATGGGGCCGAAGGCCAAGGGCGAGCAGACTAACGCACGAGGGCCAGATGACCACACGCCTGTTCGTTGCTTCCAACGCCGACAGGTACCTGGTTGAGCAGAACACTGGACACATGTGCGCATGGGAGAGTTTCGCACGCGCCAGTACCTGCGGCAAAGCGTGCTCGAGTTTCGGCCAGCGCGTGGAAGTTGAGACGTTCTCTTTTCAGACTGGCCGGCGTTTTCCAAGAGGAGGGCGCGCGAGGCGAGGGCTTGTTATGCCGGGGGGAAGCGCGCGCACGCCTGGCCAGATTGTTTTGGCTCGCCCCCCGCTCGCGCACAATCAAGCCGATACTGACGCCTCCTATGCGGCGGCCCACGCAGTTTTTACACGACTACAGCGAGACGGACATGGGGCCACGATGGAGACTGACATCATGACAGACCCCAGCGAGCATCGCATCTGGAAGAAGACGAGGCGATACATCAACGTCTTGCTGGATCGCTCTCGCACGGAGCTGGGGGCCTGCACTGGAAGCGCGAGGTTCGTTGGGCAGTCCAAGTCGGCGAGCAGGTTTCGGACGACATAGAGATGTTGCGACGCCGTTGGGCATAGTTTGCGACCGTGCCGGGCCTCATTATTATGGCAACTAACTCCTTCCGACGCAATGCGAGCCGAAGGTTTCTGTCGGCCGAGATCGCGCTCGACGACTGCATCCGAGGCCGAGTTGAGTCGGAGGGGTCACTGGAGGATGCGCCGAAGGAGGATTTGATCTACGCTACGTGTTCTGCGGTTCGGGGGGCTGTCTGCGGGCCATCTTCGGCTGCCTGGGGGCCTCTTGGAGGCTTGTTGGGGGCTTGTGGGGGGCCCCTTGGAGCATTCTGGATGCTTTGGGGGGTCTTCTCGGGGTATCCTAGGGCTCTCTTCGGGGAGGAAGGTTGGACATGTCAGGTCGGGTACCCCTGTGAGCTCTTTCTGGGAGCGGTCCCGGGGCCTT